CAATACCATCTATATATTTAGGTAATCTCTTGAATACTGAGACCCCTGTGTAGGTTTGGTATCAGCGATGGGAAAGCTGAGGGTGGGAGCCCTTGAATAACTTGCCAGAAGTCACTTGCTACAAAGAAGTAGAACTGGTTTGTGTGATTCCAGGGCCCACTGCTTTTCGTCTTCACCTGCCTATTCTCCGCCAAAACATCCCGTGAAAACAACACAGAGGCACGCCTCAGGGGTGTTGCTGTCTGGAGGAGTTACTTCCTGTAGAGAGTTACACTGTCACGGGTCAGTTTCTGTGGGCGGTGGCCCAGCCTTGTGTCCACATCATTCCTCAGTTTCTTCATGGCTTAACTAAAGAATTTTTACCTCCTAACCCTCTACCCTGGTGACACTCTAAAGGTTCTGCTGGGAGCTCCAGCTGCAACCATGATTCCTGTGGAAAAGGCCTGTCTTTCCGGCAGGCCAGCCAGGGTTGGCGTGCATTCCCTGTGCATTTGGCTCTCGAGGTGGTAAACCTAAGATCTTTGTTTTTAATCATAATATTTTACATTTTTTCTTTCCATGCTGATCAGCGTGAACCAGCTGGGGGTGGTAGCAAATCTTCCTTTAATTTCCACTGTGATGGATTATTGGTTCACTTAAAATGGTGTTTAATTTGTACATGTGCCCGGAGGCTTTTAAATATTGAGCTAATTTGATTATTGTTGGAAATCAATTCGGACTCCACAGTATGTTCAGCGAGTTGTTCTCATGAAGCCCATGGACCCTGTGGCCCCATTAACAAGGGTCAAAATCTAAAAGTTAAAATCTGATGAATTCTGTAGCCCTCCATTCATTCTTTCTTTTCTTCCTTTCTTTCTCTCTTTCTTCTTTCTTTCTTTTTTAATCTATTTATTTTTCCTTGCCAAGAATTGTCTCAAAGAAGAAACTTTAAAAATTTAACTTGAACATGGCAGAAGACAGTACTCAGTGACTATTTTTCAGTCCCTAGCTCTTGTTTTTCCCTCGCTTAGCCTACCCTCTCTCCTCAGCTACACAGGCCCTCTCTTGATCCTGCTTCATCTTGCTCTCCCCTTACCCTCTCACTCCTAGTGGGCTGTTGGAAAAATCATGATGTATTTTTTTTCTCTGTTTTTCTTTGCAAAAATGCATCATGATTTTTCCATCAACCCAAGAGTTTGTCTTATACCAGTTGAACAGGATTCCAGTATCAGCAAGCTATCATTTCTTTTCTTTTCAGGAAAGGATCACCTCTTTAACATGCCTGTAAATTCACATTAAAGAGTGAGGGGGGGCCGGCAGGTGGTGTGGTGGGTAAGGTGCTAAACTCCCACATGGCCAACTGTGGTTCAAGTCCTGGACCTGGTGGCTTGCTTTCGCACTTCCCTTTTTTCTCTGTCTTTCTCTGGTCAAATTAAAAAAAAAAAAAAAAAAGAACTAAAGTAATTTTTAAAAAAAGTGAGAGAAGCAGGGTGAGTCTGTGGCAGCCAAGTCTAATGCCTATTGTCTAGGCTTTCCAGGGTTTTCTAGCACCAGGCAGTCTGGGCCACTGCTTACATGGTCGATTTTTCTCTTGTCTTTTTAAGTTCAGAGCTATAGTGGGGAATGAATGAGTGTGCTTGGCTATGTGTTTGTATGTGACATGCTCCTATTAAATACAGGCTATAAATGCTTATTCCATAGAAGGTAGCTTTGCCTAAGTTTTGGGATTCAGATTTGAAGCTGAGCATAACCAGAAACCTCTGCTTATGAACTTTTTTGAGGTCTTCTACAAAAGAGAAGCAAGAGAAGAAATAATTCTACTCCAGGGAAATGCATAATTTAGAAGTTGTCTGCATGTGTAAGAAAACAGACTCTGTAGCTGCTCTGTAAACCCAGCCTAGCAGCCAGAGTCATTGTTTCCTTTTCTTCCCTAGTGTTTGTGTAAGACGGATCCAGTGCTCCCTGTGCTTCCCACTGGGCAGCTGAGGCAGCAGACCGCAGAAGTGCTTGGCCTTGGGGGAGCCTCCTGCTCACTCTCCTGCCTGTCTTCCTATTTCCTTACCCTAACTCACCACTTCTTTTCCTTTCCTGGAAACACCATCCTTCCTATGAGTGGAGCATGAGTAATGGAAAATCTGAGGGTATTTCAGGCACCTCAAGTGGGGTACTTGGCTCTTTCTACCACCTGTAACACTTCACCACCCAACAGCATTGGTCTATCATGGGCTGGTTTTGTCTGTTTACCTTACCCACTACCCAGACTGTGTCCAGGCTGTGATGAGAGGGCTCTGGATGCAGGAGTTCGTGTATCTGCCCTTAATCTCCTGTTACTGCCAGGCCTATCTCTGAGGCAGAGCTGAGAGAATTACTTCCCATTTCCATGTCCTTCAAGTATTCCTATAATCAGTTTAATATGATTTCACATCTTTAAAAGTAATGGTAGGAGGGGACCAACAGGTGGTATGGTGGTTGAGTTGCTGGACTCTCCCACGTTTTACTACAGTTCAAGCCCTGGACTGGGTGGCTTAAAAATCATGCCAGGTGTGTGTGCGTGTGTGCATGCCCAAAAACCTGAGAGAAGAATGGAGGTGTGGTGTGGCCATCCCCCAGGAGTGTGATTTCTCACTTTCCCCCTCTCTGTCTCTGTCTCTCTCCCTGGCAAGCACACGTGCCCTAAGGCAAAAGCCTAAAAAAGAAAGAAAGAAAGAAGGAAGGAAGGAAGGAAGGAAGGAAGGAAGGAAGGAAGGACAGAAAGAAAGAGAGAGAGAGAATAATGGTGGGAGAGGTTAGGGGTGGCGTAGTGGAACTACAACTGGACCACATGGGAAAGATAATGGGCTTGGGTCTCAGGACCTCCCTGAGTGTGCTGGGCATGTGCCTATACCAGTCATCCCGGTCACCTGAGACCAGGAGTGGGTTGTGGCATGAAGACCCTGTTAGTGGTGCCTGGCTTTCATGGAAGAAATAAACAAACTTTTAATTAATTAATTATTTTAAAGTAGTGATGTGAGACCAAGCTAGGGGACATATGCCTAGGACCCTGTGGGTCAGAATCCTTCGATAGTGAGACATCTGGAGTATAAATGATCACTTTGCATGTGGAACCTACTTGGCTCAGAGCTGCAGAAGCCCAGCATTCACTGTGGGATAAGGATTAGTGGCCCCTGTTGTCCTTCAGCCTAGTGCTGGCCAGTGGCATTCATCTCTCAGAAAGAAATATAGAGCCCAGGAGTGTGTAGCAGTCTCAGTGACTGCTATAGCAGGAAGGATACCAGGGTGGAGGAAAACTTCCCCTTAGCAGCTTTGGTCTCTTAGTTTAGGAGATTTGGAATATGATTTGTAGGCTTTTTTTGAGAGGTTTTTGCTGTAGGGTGCGTGCACTCGCTGGAAAGACAGAGAGAGACAGAAAGCAAGAAATCATACCCCAGGGAGGATGGCCATGCCGGAATCCCTTCTCCTCCATTCTCCTCTAGGGATCTTGGGCACACACGCACACATGCCCGGCATGAGTTTAAGCCACCAGGTCCAGAACTCGAACCACGGTCAACTACATGGGAGCTCAGAGACACAGCCATTACAGTAACTGCTGGTCCCTAGGCTTTCTTTAAATATCTAGATGGATCCCAGACATAATACAGCAAGGAAGATCTGATTGTTTGTCTTCCTCCCCCATCTTTCTAAATAATTTTATCTTCAAAGCATGACACAGTTGTTAATTAACACTCAGGACTCTCCTGGGAGGTAGGCAAGTGGGAACACTATCCCCATTTGCGAAGTCAAGGGACTAGACAGGTGCTGGAGCCTCAGGTAAGGAGAGAAGGAAGGAGCCGCAGAGAAGCAGAGCATGTTTTAGACCGTGTGGCTCTGCCTTCAGGCCTTCAGTTGGACTTCCCCACTCATTTGGAGCCATCCCACTTTCTCAGTGTCCTTGGTTCCCAATAGAATAAGAGAGTTTAGGCTATGGTAGGAGAGATGTTTAATGCTGCAGGGTGGGTAATGGAAAGTCCAAGAGTTGGGGAGAGATTCTGGTGTACTTCACTGTCATTGTGAATTTTAGATGCAGAATTCTGGTTGTGCCACTGATTCCGTTCATTCATTCTTTAAAAAAAAAAAAAAATTAAGCATTTACCCTGAGCAAAGTGCTGTGGGAATCACTTCTCTCAAAAGAGCTGGCTAGTCGCCTCTTAGGGAACCTGTGGATTAGGAATTGATACTTTGTATCCCATGCTCAATTCCTAAACAAACCTTGGTAGGTTCACTGCCTCTTCAGGTGGTGGCTTCAGGTGTTGGAGTACTCAGGCGTCTGGAGATGGACAGTAAATCATATTAGATGTAGTGAGTCTCTCGGGCCTAAGCTTCTCCTCCCTTAGCAGCTCCACCTTGGTTGGTTGGTTGGCTAAGGAAAGAGGGGCCCTTAGAAATCCTCTCTCTGGGGCTGTAGGTAGCAAGCACATCATCGAACCTGGCTCTTCTTCTTTTTTATTTTGAGAGTTTTTTGCTACAGGGCATGTGCACTCACCGGAGAGACAGAGAGAAAGACAGCGTAAAATTGTCCTCCCCAGGGGGGGATGGACACATTACAATCTCTTCTCTTATCGTCCATGCTCCTTTTGGGACCTTGGTCACGCACACACATGAGCCTGGCATGAGTTTTAAGCCACAGGTTCCGGAGCTCGAACCATGGTTGACTACATGGGAGTCCAGCAACGTAACCATTATACCTATCTATTGGTTCCTTGAACCTGGCCATTTCTGCAGCCACCTGGAAAAGGTGACGATGGTAGTAGGCTGCCCGTGAGTAAATGCTGAGTGATGGGTTATGGTGAGCCTCCAACTCCAGGAAAGCAGCAGACCTAGACTCTCCTGCGGTCTCTTTCTCATTCACTGGGCCTCTTGGACAAGAGCAAGAACAGAAGAGGGTCATTTACCCTGTGAGTGTGGCCCTCTCTGGGTGCCCATGGGACTCGACTTGCTTTGTCAGAAACCCTGCTCCATCATCTAATGCTCTTCTCCTTGTCTTGGTGCCGCAGGCTGCTGAGAACCAGCCTTCGACCTCTGCTTGAGGGCCCTTCCTCTGAAGACATCACCAGTGTGTGGAGCCTGCCCCACACCCACCCCCTGCCAAACCACGGCCTTTACCTGTGTCTTCCGGTGTTTCCCGTGCGACCCATCCTGTGGGAGTGCCTCGTGGGCAGCCCCGGAGTTCACTCCACACTCAGCGGCGCCAATGGTGAAGATGACAAGATCCAAGACTTTCCAGGCATATCTGCCCTCCTGCCACCGGACCTACAGCTGTATTCACTGCAGAGCTCATTTGGCCAATCATGATGAACTGATTTCCAAGGTACATGGTTCCTGCAGGTCTTCCTGCTTGGGGGAAGCACATTTACTGCTCTTAAGATCGCAACAGTTTATAAGCTCTCCCAGAGACTGGGAAACTGTACTGCATCTTTTGTAGAGGGAGGGCTGACCTGCATGACTATCTCAACTGAGAAATAACTCTGTGTTGGAGGGACAGGATAGTGTTTTAATTTGTTGACTTGGAAATTAGATGTCATCCTTACTGGGGGTTGGCAGCTTACAGACCAGAGAAGGGCGGGGCTGAGGAGTGACCAAAGCTTTTGCTTGGCTTGCTTGGTTTAGGTTGGCAGATCAGTGCTGTGGAGAGTACTGCCTGCTTGGAAAAAGTGAATGTTAAGAAAGGGGGTGGAGGAGTGGGTGTCTAGAGAAGTTTATTAGCTGAGATGAGAGAGTCCCTGGGAAAGTTGTGAGACAGTGGTATTACTGAAATGGGTAGCCTTTGAGGAGGACCCAAAGTGGCTGTTGAAGGGCTAACCTGTGGGACCTTTGATCATTATCAGAAGAAAGAATGGAACCCAGTTTTCCTTGAGGAGCCTTGGCACCTGCTGTCTAAGACTGAGGTTGGGAGTTATTGATAAGTAAATAAGCCCAGCATTTGAGTTGTGCAACCCAGTAGCTGGGTCCTTCAGGCCGCACTCTTAGGGGAGCTACCTCCCTCCTGGCCCTAGATTCCCAGGGGATGAAATCAGATTTTACATGACAAAGAGGAAGAGACCATTGGAGACTTTTCTCTTTAAAAACATCTTTCCTGGGGCTAGCAGGTATGGTGGTATGGTGGTTGAGGGTGCTGGACTCCCATGTGGCCGACCATGGTTCAAGTCCCAGGTCTGGCAGCTTGCTTTCTCACTCTGTCTGTCTATCTGTCTCTCTCATTCTGTCCCTTTCTGGTTAAACTAAAATAAATAAAATTAAATAAAATAATTCTTTAAAAATATTTTTCCTCAAAACCTAGACTCCATACTGTTCAAATCCAACTGACCAAACAATCTTTATGTGAACTCAGACTTAAATTTTTTTTTAAATTGGTGTTCCTGGTCTTTTTTTTTTTTTTTTTTAGAGTGGTTTTGCTGGTCTTTTGTTTTTTTTTTTTCTTTTATTTTTGGAGAGGTTTTGCTATAGGGCACATGCCAGACAGAGAGAGACAGAGAGACAGAAAGCGAGAAATCATCCCCCGGGAGGGATGGCCACGCCGCAATCCCTTCTCCTCTATTCTCCTCTCGGATCTTGGGCATGAACACACACGCACCCGGTGTGAGTTTAAATCACCGGGTCTGGGACTTGAACTGCGGCTGGCTGATTTGACATAGGAGGCGGAGAAGGCCACCCAAACAACCAGGGCTGTGGTAATGGCGAGTTTCAAATCAGGCCTGGGGTCTGAAGTCTTCATGCCAGGTCAATTTCAGGGGCTAGGGCTACTACAGAGCCCAAATCCTAGAGCCTTCAGAATCCTGTCCTCTGGCTCAACTTTTTCTCTCCAATCTTTTCTGTTTTTGTGATTATTCTCCTTTTACATTTCAGCCAGCCTTTAACTTTTTCTCTATCAACTGATCCATCTTGTCTCAGATTCTATTGAGTTTGTCAGGGGAGAGGGAAACTCCTTGAGCCTGGGCATTTGGACGTAGAGGGTCTAAGTTAGTGGGAGAAGGGGGAAATCAGTCCTCTGGGCATTGGACGTGGGCTTGTAGATATAGATAAGAACTGTGAATTTTTATTTTTTTTTAATCTCCAGACAAAGTGTATCTAGTAGAAAAACTAAAACATCATTTTTTTTTTATTCATGATAGAGCACATGCATGCACAAGAGAGAGCGAGAGTGCGCGCGTACGGAGAGAGAGAGAGAGAAGCAGGAGTATTCCTCACAGGGTCCGGTCATGCCATGATCCCCTTTCTCCAGTCCTCCAGAGCATGGCATCCTGAGCACTCATATGTATGTGCCCAGTGTCTTTCAGGCTGACCGGGCTTGGCATTCAAACCGTAGTCACTTCAGTGGATCCAGGTCCTCTTGAGCAGCACATTATCAGTGGACCACAGAGCTGTCCCCCAAGGCATTATTTTAATACAAAGAAGAGGTGCTATGTACATAAGAAACCGAGATACCATTAAAGTGTATTTTAGTACCCTCTATATACTAAAACCTGCTACTCCACACTTTATCAATGTTATACCTCTTAACCCTCATAAGAAGTCTTTGAATAGGTAATGCCAGTCACACACCATATGGATAGAAAAGTCGAGACTCCTAAAAGTTGCCCAATATCTCAAATTCAAAATTCTGGGCAAAATGGTTACTTTGAGTGGAGGTGTTCAGGGTTTCTGGTTGAGATGGCTATTTGAGCCAGGCCTTGTAAGGTGGGCGAAAGTTGAATATGTGGAGATGGTAATGGCCTTCACAGTTTACGTCTTATCCCTTTGGCTTGGTATGCAGCCCTTTGCCCATGTGGGGAAGCTTAGTTTTTGAGTTAGGTCTCCTACCCATTCTGCACATTGTTTAAGAGACTCAGATTTAAGCCGGGTAAAGGTATTTCATGCCTCCGTGCCTCTGCCATGAGCATCCTTTCTTCATCTGTCTCTTGAGCTCTTATACATCCTTGGGCTATGTCCCAATAGCTTTATGTCTTTGGGTCAGAACTTGGCCCATGATGGTAATTCAATAAACGATCACACAGATGGATGGATAGAGCTTGAATCTTGGGGAGAAGACAAGAATAAGTGGAAAAAAGACTTTGTTGGCCTCATGTCCTCCTTCCTGCCCCTTTTGGGGCAAAAGGGCTCATTTACAAGACCAGACCAAAGTCAACACAAGCTTTAGTTTCACAGGCTACAGCCAGTGCACAGATGGGGTGCATTAAAGCTTGATGATTTAAAGAGTTGGGTGAAATGCCTGACTGTGGGGGAAGAGTGAGGGAACTGTGGCTGGCATTGCACAAAGATTCCTTTATTTCACTCCACAGCCACCCCCAGCATTAAATAATCTATAGATTCTTTTGCAGGTTGGCTTAATGGAAAGATCATTGTTCCAGTCTTTGCCTTGGAAAATGGGCCTTTCTTTTCAGTTTTTTCCTCTCTTCCATTTGAGAAAGTTCAAGGAGAGAATGTCTCTCCTGTTCTCCCCTCTCTACTTAATCTCCAATGCGGTTTCAGAATCTGCCCAGTGGGAGTTAGAAGCTGGGAAGCAGATAACTAGAGTTGGAGCAGCAGTGTAATTAAATGGTACTTTGTACTTGTAATAGGGCCTTTTGACCAAAAGCTTGGCATTCATTTGCGGGAAAAAAAAGAAAGGAAGAAAGGTGAATCTGTCTTCATTATGAAGAAGGGGATGCAGAGGTCCAAAGAACTAACGCTCTGAGTGTGTGGACAGCAAGAACTGGGAACATGTGGGCCTTCAGGTGCCCTTCCTGCCAGTGTGTCTAAGCCTACATAGAAATGCATAATTACAAAGTTTTAAAGTGATTAGGGTTCATGCTGATATGGTGGTAGAAAGAATCTTGAACCAGGCCCTCTGTCTTCCCAATTTGCTCTAGATCCCTGAAAGCCTACTTGTGCTACCGTGAATCATCCAACTGAGCCTCTTTCTCACTCATACAATTGATAAAATAATACTTGCCATACCTGATGGTATCTTAGTCCATTAGGGCTGCTATAACAAAATAATGAGGTAGCTTATAAACAAATTTTTTATTTCTCACAGTTCGAGAGTTTGGGAAGTCCAAGATGAAGGCACCAGCAGATTCAATACCTAGTGAGGGCCCACGTTCTGATTCATTGATGACTCCTTCTCACTGTAACTTCACATGGCAGATGGAGAGAGAGCTCTCTCTTTGGCCTCTTTGTAAGAGCACTAATCCCATTCATGAGGATTCTACACTTATGACCTACTTACCTCCTAAAGGCCCTACTTCCTACTATCATCATCTTGGGGTAAGAATTTCAACACATCAACTTGGGACAGGGACGAGGACACCAATATTCAGATCACAGGAAATGGCTGGTAGCTAGACTTGCTGCATGCTTGCTAGATGCCAGCCCGTAATAGTCCTATGCAGTAGACATATCTATATCTCATTGGGAGGAGGGAGCAGGTTTACCTCACTGGAAGGCTCAGATGAGATCATGGATGTGTGGGTGGTTTGTAATTTACAAAGCTCTATGCACATATAAAGCAGTCCATTTTCTTTGTCTTGTCCTACTGTCCAAAAAATCTATAAAACATTAAAAAATGGAGGTGGTTTGGAAGAGATTGTTCTGCCTAACACCAAGAACTTTTAGGTTAGCCAAGATAGTTTCATTTTAGAACCTAGAGTGCAGGAGTTGCATATAAGGGATGGGTGATAGCTGAGTATGTTTGTAGAATGGTAACACGACATTTGCTCTGTAGGATGGCGGTGGGGGTGGGGTGGGGGATCTCTTTGAATTGATGACGGAATTATCTAGGGAATGTGCTGAGGCATCCTACAATTTCTTTCTTGGGGGTGTTGTGGTCTAAATGCTGCAGTGTTTGCATGCAAAGGTATTTTTGAGTTGGCACGAGGAATTGCTCACACTGCTGTTTCTTCATTAATGGTGCAAGCCCTGGTATAAAAATATACTTGGGTTATAAAATGATAATAGCTTCAGTTGGAACAATTAGTTGCCTTGAGTGAGAATAATCTAAACACTTGCTTCAGTGGACATGATTATTATGGAAACTTGGATCTTCATAAAGATTTTGTATGAAAGATTTTTGTAAATAGTCCTTCCCTTGCCTTCCTCCTGCCAAACTCTCCATGGTGTTATGGAATATGCCGTTTAGAAATGGTAAATTAGGGGTCCAGCAGTTAGTGTAATGGCTATGTCACTGGACTCCCATGTAGTCGACCGCGGTTTGCGTCCCAGACCCGGTGGCTTAAAACTCATGCCGGGTGCGTGTGCGCCCAAGATCCCGAGAGGAGAATGGAGGGGAAGGGATTGCAGCGTGGCTATCCCCCCTTGGGGGTGATTTCTCGC